CGTGCCTGTTCGATGCTGGACAGGAGCCCCGAGGTGGATGCGGAGAGGAAGATGAGGACACTGGTCGGAGCACCCGTGCCTCCGGGATCCGGAGAGTTGGCAGCTGCCCGGAGGGATGGAGCCGGGAGTGGGGCGACTCAGGAGGCTACTCTGCGGTCGGGGGGCCAGAGGCTCTCTGGAGGCACGGCGACTCATGATGGGCCGGGACAGTGGAGACCCGGGACAGCTGCGCTTGTGACAGCAGACGCTGCCCCCGGCCTCGAGTCCAGCAGAGCAGGGGGGCGTGCCAGGCCTGACTCCCAGCCCACAGCAGAGGCGCGCAGGCCACGCCTGGCCCTGCGTGACTCAGGGGCCACATGTCATCGGCCAGGACTGCGATGTTTAAGGACTCACAGTTCCTAGCTTTAGGTGGAGGTCCCAGCCAATCCGAAATTGCTGCTTGAGTTTTGGTTTTCTTCCTTCAACAGTTTTATTGCAGTCTAATTTACATACCGCAAAGTTCACTTTTGTTTGAATTTCAAACAAAAAAAATTGTAAGAATCGCTTTTTTGAAGTCTTTTCTAAGGAGCAGAAGCTCCCTGAGCACTCAGTAGCAGTGTCGTCACACAATTGAGCAGCTGCCCTCTCTGCCTCCAGCCCTCAGCCTGGCCTCCCCCCACCTCCGTCCCCTCGCCTCGGCCTCTGCCTCCTGCGTAGCCCAGTCCGCTGAGGCTGCGGCTCCCAAAGGCAGGAGCTGGGAGTTGGGCCTCTGTGCCCTCTGGTCCTTTTGCCTGAAAGAGCCTGTGGGCGCCTCCTAACACACCGGGGTTGCGTGCACCACATGCCCTTCCAAGGTCACCCTGTGTCCTAGATCTCTGCCACCTGAGGCTGCGTTGTGCCGTGTGGCCCTGGTCCATGGACTGCATGGGGAGTCATGCCACCTCGGTCTCCCCAGCTCCACACGTGACCAATGGCAGGGGCCTGGAAACATCTGTGCGGAGCGACAGGTAGAGTGAAGGTCACGTGTGTGCCTCACTGGATTGCTCGCTCTGGGGAGACAGACAGGAATGTCGTTCCTCTGGGACCTGAAGGAACAGGTTGTTGCAGCAGTGGTTGTAACCTGCGGACCAGAGCACAGTCCAGGAAGAAAAGGCCTCTTGACTTTGCTTTGAGAGTCAGGTTTGGGCCTCTTCCTGGCAGTGGAAGATGCCAGCCCTCACCCCGCCAGCGTGGTCAGTGCCCCAGCAGGGACTGATCGCAGCCTGACAGGTGGGTTTCCTGGAGGGATGGTGAGCGCACAGGAGCAGGGGAGGAAAGTCCAGAGGAGAAAACCCGGAAAAATGACCCACGGGTCCCACAGGCCATGCCAAGAATGGGGTGCATGCCTTGTGCCTGTCCTGTGCTTGAGCCTGTCCTCCCCAAACACCTGGGCTGTGTGTCCAGAGGGAGGGCATGTCACTGTGCCACCGAGGGGCTGAGCCTTGGGGGTAGGGGCAGAGGCACGCTCAGGAGAAGCTGCCCCCTGGGTCTGGGCTGAGATGTGCCAGCTCTGAGCAGGCTTAGCAGAGTGGAGACCGAGCCCCTTCAGGTCCCCGCAGGTGTTGGAGATGGCATTTGGGGCAGGTGTTGTGGACTTCTGTGATTTGGGGAGGCGAATACGCAGCAGGGGTGGGAGGACGAGGCGGAGGGATGGGGTGCCTCAGGTGCCGGTTCCAGGACGGGCGCCCTGCTTGGAGTGGGGCGGGGCAGAAGGGCCAGACAGATGGTGTGGGAGTCAGCGGACCGCGGGAGTCCAGGGAGCAGAGGGCACTCCCGCAGCCCTGCCCAGGCCTGGCTCCCTCCTCCCCGCCCTCCCACTCCTGCCCCCAGGCCTGCAGTGCCTGGTACCAAGCAGAGCGGGGGTGGGGGTGCCCTCGCAGGAGGAGGGCTGGCATGGCTCCGTCTTGGCGAGGGCTGTCTCAGGAGGCCTTGCCCAGCGCGGGGACCCCAGGTGGAGCTGGGGATGGCAGAGCAGCCTGGAAGCCTTGAGGCCTGAGGGAGGAACCTGGGTCCTGGTCACGTATTGCGGGGCCTCAGCAGACCCCTGTGGTGAGCCAGGTCACGGTGGCAGTGGCCGGGGCCCGACCTGACCCGGCATCAAGCTGCAGATGCTTGTGGAGGGCAGAGCCGGTGGGCTTCCTGACTGGGTCGCGGTGGGCGCGAGGCGAGGCGGAGGCCTCGTGCTCGCTTACCTTCTCCCTGTTGCTAGCCCAGCTTTTAATGAGAGAAGCTGAATACGCTGATGGCTTCCGGAACCAGGCACCAGGCGCTGGCACTGTCAGGAAGGGGACGGCCAGGCGGGAACAGGTGCCGGCGTTACTGGGTAGCAGACTGCGTGCTGCCCCGCGTTGTCGCACCGGCCTTACCTGAGCTCCAGACGGCGCGGGCCGAAGCAGGAGTTCGGTGCCCAAGTGGGCCTCCAGGCCTCAGGGCCCATGCACAGCCAGGCAGCACGCGGGGGTTGTGACAGTGCCACCTCCCCTTCTGAGAATTAGTCACCGATGCCCACGCACCAGGTCAAGGACGCTGGTGCCCCGCTGCCCGGTGGCCTCTGGCTCAGCCTTGGTCTCGATGATTTCCTGCAAGGACGGTCCTTCCCCCAGGTCCTCCGGCCCTGCACCCAGGTGGGGTCTCAGCTTGTGAAGGGGGCCTGCAGCCAAGAAAACGGCAGAGTGGCAGTGGGGTGCTGGGCGCCCCCACTCTCCTGGGGGGCGGAGGTGGGAGCTAGCTCCAGCCCCCGCTGGGGCAGGTCTTCTGTGTGAAAACCTGTGTTTGAAGTTGCCCTGCCGTTGTTAACGTTGTGAGGCAGGGTTACTCTGGATAAACACGTACCGTTTGCCATACGTAGGGATTTCACCATCTTTTTTGACTCTCCAGGAATAGAAAGTCCATCTTTTTCTTGTTAAAATGAGGTGTATGTGCAGCAGGGCGTGCGCGTCCTGAGCGTGTGGCTGGTGCCCTCCTGTCTCCGCACATGGTCATCCCAGCACCCTGGAAGGTCCCTCACCAACTTTGACCCTTCTCAGTGGAAAACTCCTGTTTGTCTACTCACGTTTCTGACTCCAAATGTCTTTCCACACCAATCAATTCTCCATTTCTTGGTGGACACCAGCTGGGTGTCCTCCAGTTTAATTCAGTTCTGGTACTGGCCACCGGAGTCAGCACAGACCCCTCACGTGGAGGACTTGGTCCCACAAGACTGCCCTACCCGCTTGAGGTGCCAGAGGCAGCACCTCCCGTGCTTCTGACCAACTGGCCACAAGCTGAGGGCTTCCGTGACCCCTCCTGCGGTTCAGTAATTTGCTGGAAGGGCTCACAGAACTTAAAGGAGTCCTGAGTAACAGCCAGATGAAGAGACACAGGGGCAGGTGTGGGGAAGGGCGCGACCTCCATGGCCCTCCAGCCCCCACCCTCCCAGCACCTCAGCGTGGTCACCCCAGGTGCTGCTGTGCAGGCCCCATCGTTTAGGGGCTTGTGGGGTCCCCACCATGAAGGCACGACTGATTAAATCACCAGCGATTAAGTCGCTCTGTCTCTCCTCCCCACTGGAGACAGGGGTGGCGGTGAGAGGGGCTCCCGTCCCCACCCCTCGGGAAGCCCCGGGGTTCAGGTGCTCGGTGTCGGGAGCCAGGAAGAAGACCACGTGTGTCCCGTGTCACACGTCACACCCCGGGCAGCTGCTGCCCCGGCTTCCGCTGTGTTAGACTTGCTTTGCCTGTCCTCATGCTTCACATATCAGACTGACTCGGCAAATCATCGTTCGTATTTGGTAGAAATGCCATTTTGACAAGATGTAAGTTGTATAAAGTTAGTGCGTTCACGTCTGGAGCATGTTTGGGGAGTGAATTAGGTGTGAGGTCGGGGCCGGGCTGTGGAAACACTTGTTCACACGCCCAGGTGAGTCTCTCTGAATGGATGGAGTTCGTATTTTTTACCATCTCAGCTGAGAGTCAGAATTTAGAAAATAAACTGAAGCTTGGAAGGGCCAGTAGGGGGTTTTGGTTCCAGACTGGAGGCTCAGAGCATCTGACCCTCCCCGTCTGTTCCCCTGAGTACGAAGGACAGCCACAGCCCTGTGTCATCTCAGGGGTGGATGTGTGTGGGCCCTGCAGAAGTTCAGAGAGGACCAGAGGCTCGCTGTGTCTTCCACAGTTTCGGCGGGCAGCAACGCTTTTGAGTCTCTGATGTTTTTCATCACAATTTTTAGGGCTGAAGTGTTTTTATGAGTGTGACTTGAATAAAACGTTCAAGGATTGAAACACTGAGACCTCCCAGGGTGTGGCAGGGGCACCGGCGGGCTGTCAGCATCTGACCGCCCTCCAGCCCCACCGCAGAGCCCCGCTGTGTGTGGGGGGGAGCCTTTCCGCTTTTCATCGCTCCAGAAGGAGATCACTTTTGTGGTTCTTTTACGTCCAACAGGAGTAAATGTCGATGGATTAATAAAATGCGCTCAGTGTGCGGCAGAAGCTGTGGTCCATCAGCCAAAAAGTGCTTCTCCCTGGCCAGCCCCCTTCAGGCGGGAAGTCAGGGTGGGACACGAACGTCTCTCCACACATCTGCTGGGAACAGTTTTTGAAACTGCCTGACAAGTGTCTCCCTGATCCTCACACCGTGTGAGGTTCATTTTTTATTTTGCCTTCTAGCCCTGCCCGTGTAAACAGGGCTGCAGTCAGAATCCTTTGCACTTTGTTTTCATCGTATTTAACATTTTATAACAGTTTTCACTTAAAGGAGGTGGCTTTTTTTTTAAGCTAGTGATACTTAAAAATAAAATCCTCTCTCTCATGTAGTTTAGAACCGTGGTTTTTAAACCACTTCATGGTTCATGAAGTCAGTTTAGTAGGATGATCAGAACAAAAGATGACAGGAACGTAGGGGGCCCTCACGCAGGCGGGAGCGCCTGCAGGGACCAGAGTTCCCGGGCACAGCCTGGCCGGGAGCTCGCGCTGGCCGGCGCTCTGAGCGCGTCACTGAGCACTCGGGACTTTCTGTTCACACCGTCCACCGAAAGGTCTTAATGATGGCACCTTGTAGTGCTCACACTCACACGTCCTGCGGGCTTGCAGGGATGGAGTCCCGAGTTGTCCAAGGGGTGGATGCATCCCAGGGACCAGGTGTGCGCACGTGTGAGGAGAGTGCGGGAGAGCAGACAGGTGTGCCCGCCCCGGGCAACCTGGGCACACGCCCCCTCTGTGGGGCGGCTGGACGCAAGGCTGTGGGTTGTGCAAACGCCCTGCACGTTGTGGGTGCCCTCGGAGTCAGGCCTCGTACGTGGCAGCACCACAGCTGTCAAAGCAGCCGGGCGCTGGTGCGCCGTCTGCGCTGTCCCGGGGTCAGGGCCGCTTGGGACAGTACACACGGCCTCCTGCGTGTCGTCGCTGCCCAGGCAGACAGACCCCTGTCCCCTTCATTCCTTCCTGGCTTGAGCATGCACAGATCCCTGAGCAGACGTGTGGGGTGCCCCGGGGTGCCCTCCAGAGTATCTCTGAGGTGACTGTTTTGCATTGGGGGCTGCTAGACGCTCGTCCTTTTTCCAGGGTCAGTGGGTACAGTTTCTTTAACTTTTTTGGGGGGAGGGTCAGGCTTATTTGTCTTCACAGTGTATCTTTAATGGAGATGCTGGGTGTAGAACCCAGGACCTTGTGTGTGCTAAGCACGCGCTCTACTGCTGAGCTATACCCATCTTTTGCTTTTCAAGATTGTGGGTGATGAACAAGTCTCTGAACCCGCTCCCCCTACTCGCCCAGCCCAGTTACCTTGCCTTGGGGCCTTTCCAGGGCCTGGTGGATGGCAGAGGGTGGCTCTGAAGTGAGAGGGACACTGGCTGCGGGGATGGGTGAGGAGCAGTGGCAGGAAGCAGGCTGCGCCCCGATCTCAGGGCTGCCAGGTGGGAAAGGGAAGGTCCTGCCAGGCCAGTGTGTCGCTCACTGAGTGGCCTCTGGGACAGACAGGTGCAGGGATCCCGGACCGTGACCGCAGTCAGGGGCAGGCTCGTGCCGAGTCTGCGGGTCACGGCAGGCTGGCCGGGGCACAGAGGCCCGGGCTGGATGGCCTTGAGCGCAGCCCGCCGGTCCCAGGGCTGCGGTGGGCATGTGGGTGCCTGCTTGGCGACGCAGGCAGGCCGCCCCGGCTGTGCCTTGCTTCCTGGACTTGTAGCAGTAGATTGGACTAGCTCTGCAGAGTGTCGGCTTGATGGCCCAGACCCCCACCCAGGCAGGGTTCCCGGAGGGCTCTCTGGAGCCAGCACCCACGGGCCCTGCGGTGACACGCTGTCCTCTCCCATAGGGCTTGGCGGTTCGCGGGCCGCGGCGCTAATGGCTGCAGCCAGCGTGACCCCTCCCGGCTCCCTCGACCTGCTGCAGCCCGGCTTCTCAAAGGCCCTCCTGGGGACCAGGCTGGAGGACAAGTACCTGTGCTCGGCCTGCAAGAACGTCCTGCGCAGGCCCTTCCAGGCGCAGTGCGGCCACCGCTACTGCTCCTGCTGCCTGACCAGCATCCTGAGGTAGGCGGCGCTGTGGGTGGGCAGATGGGGGCCGTGTGGACGGCCTGCTCCGGGGGTGGGGCGTGATGAGGCATCTTGTGAAGGTCAGTTTCCCTGCTCCTTATTTTGTTTTTAGTTAAAAAAATTTTTTGTTGGAGGGAGGTAATTAGGTTTATTTATTCTTAGAGGAGGTACTGGGGATTGAACCCAGGACCTTATGCATGCTAAGCACCTGCTCTACCACTTGAGCTGTACCCTCCCCCCTCCTCATTTTTTAACATGGGAATGGACAGTGTGAGGTGCCCTGTGACTCCTGCTCCCGTTGTGCTGGCCGTGTGAGTCCCCAAGTCCCCCAGAGGGCCCGCCTGGCGAGTGGCAGCCGAAGGGCCGGGAGGCGGGCCCTGGCCCGGCCCTGGGCCTCCACCTTCGCGGGG